TGAAATTGGTGAACTAGGCTATTTGAAGTGGGTATAAATAAATACATTTTCCACCCCATGTCTTGAATTTGTGATCATTCTAGATGTATTTTAATAGACTAAATCATGCAGAACACACTCTAAATGCGTACGCGCACTAGTCTAGACTTCACGTAACGTATGCGTGCGCTCTGTAGGGGTGTTTTGAATGTTTTTTTGCAAAATACTCGATAATGTCAAATCGCACATCATTAAAACAACAATTACGATATTATCGCAGACAATATATCGCACACCCATACCGTAAATATATCAAAACTTAATTTTTGATTAGTAATACGCATTGCTAAGAACTTCATTTGGACAACTTTAAAGACGATTTTCTCAATATTTTGATTTTTTTGCACCCTCAGATTCCAGATTTTCAAATAGTTGTATCTCGGCCAAATATAGTCCTATCCTAACAAACCATACATCAATGGAAAGCTTATTTATTCAGCTTTCATATGATGTATAAATCTCAATTTCAAAAAATTGACCCTTATGACTGGTTTTGTGGTCCAGGGTCACAAATAAGTTGGTGAGCTGCTAGTATAAACCATGTAAATGATTTGGATGAAGATTCTCTATGCAATATTAAATACTATTTCCAAAAATGATAGCTGTGTAGAGTGTGTGAAATGCTTTGGGGTAAATATTGTCAATTACTCGACTACCAGTAAGCTTTCCAAATCCAGGAAGAATTATTACAAACATTCTATTACAGAATGTGGGAAAGAAAAAATATATATAAATATACAGTATATATATATAATTATATATATATTTCTGACTGGCTTATGAATTTCGAATAATGTACAGAGAACTTTTAGAATGTGGATTGTGCATTTAGTTAAAAAAAAAAACTTAAGTTTATATATTTAATTATATTATGTTTATATTATATCATTATATTTTATGTGGAATGTAAACCATTCATATAATTTTCCCAGATACATCTATGAAACTGAGCACTTTAATGGAGTTGCTGAACTCCTTGAGATTCTGGGCAGGTGAGTCTTTTCTTTCATGTTCTGTTCACAGAGATCATTTAATGGAGTTAGTGCTTTTGAAAGCGTAGCGTCAGAATGCATGCTGGGTAAAAGGTTATTTGGCAGCTGGTGTTGGTGTTGGCTGGCTGTAGTCACCTAATGTTAAAACAGTCATCAGTTGTGTTGCTGTCTTTATAATCGCAGTATCATCAATGGCTTTGCTCTGCCGCTGAAGGCTGAACACAAGCAGTTCCTCATGAAGATCCTCATTCCCCTGCACACTGCCAAAGGACTCGCGCTGTTCCACGCACAGGTAACCCGTAAAGCCTGCTCTATCATATCTGATGCGCTAGTTTTTAAAAGATCAACGCTGAAAAACCTATCTACTAAAACAATCTGCTATAACCAAGTGCCTTGTGTCGTCTGAATGATAGTTTATACTTTTTTAGTAAGTTAAAGGTCTTTAGTATAATAGTTAAACTGTCCACTTTCATGTGTCTTTTTGCTGTGAAATCCCTACTGATTTTTAAAAAGTAAATCTGAGAATAACTTCTGTATTGATAGTAATATTTCAAGATCTAAAACTTTCTGAAGTATGATGATGTATCCATACATCATTTAAAAAGGGGAAAACAATATATAGTATTAAATATGATACATCAGGCTTTTGAGGAAGGTTTATTTGTACATCTCTCAGTCATCTTTGTATTGCACTGCATTAGGCTATTATTAGGAGATATGGATATGTATATGCATTTTATGTCAGTAGTCTGCCATGCTGTTATTAAAGAGTTATCAAACTTTCATTTTTTTCTGGCTATGTGAATATCAGCAACTGCACCAAATTTCATATTTTTGTTATTCTGTGCAGTTTTTTTTTTTTAAATCCAAGTATGAGCTCAGTATTCTCTTATGAGCCATAAATGACAGATGTGTCAAATATGATCCTTAACAAAAACTTTCGATTTATCATATGTATTCTTTCTGATACAATTGCAGGAAAAATGTATGTGAACCCTATGAATTTACCTGAATTTCTGCAGAAATTGTTCATAAAAGACCAATGACTTTTAAAATCTGAACAGATTTTAAACATTAGGCATCGCACACTGTACACAACAAACTCACGCTTGACAAATGAAAGCAATATGTGTTCTAAAATTGGCTCAAAATATCAAGCATGTTTTATATCCTCTGACTCAATGGAATCATAATGTAAAGCTAAACTATATGAATATCAGCAACTGCACCAAATTTCATATTTTTGTTATTCTGTGCAGTTTTTTTTTTTTAAATCCAAATATGAGCTCAGTATTCTCTTATGAGCCATAAATGACAGATGTGTCAAATATGATCCTTAACAAAAACTTTCGATTTATCATATGTATTCTTTCTGATACAATTGCAGGAAAAATGTATGTGAACCCTATGAATTTACCTGAATTTCTGCAGAAATTGTTCATAAAAGACCAATGACTTTTAAAATCTGAACAGATTTTAAACATTAGGCATCGCACACTGTACACAACAAACTCACGCTTGACAAATGAAAGCAATATGTGTTCTAAAATTGGCTCAAAATATCAAGCATGTTTTATATCCTCTGACTCAATGGAATCATAATGTAAAGCTAAACAATCAAACTTTGTTTCCATCATAGTCTACGCAATTTTCAGCAAAATCTGCAGCCTGGCCCTGCTTTTGCTGAAACAAATAAAACCCAAACAGTGATGGATTTTAATGTCTTTATTAAACATACTGTGTCAGGGTTTGTGAGTTGATCCAAAGCTAATAATCAATTAAAGCACTTACTAAAAAAGCTGCAATATATATATATATATATATTTTTTTTTTTTTTACTTAAGTGAGTGGAGTTCACTGTAGTAAATAAGCCACTCTGGTACAGTATATATCTGTACATGTGCATTTGTTGCTGCCGTAAAGCAATCCACACTTTTTGTGGACATTCAAGGTCAAATCCACATCACATTTCTCCCTCTGCAACTGTATTTAGTTTTTTGCACATCTTACAGTTTTACAGTCATGAAAAATGTTATAGGCAGAGAAATTCATCTGGTGATAATATACAGCCAGTAGCCATTTAAAATTAATCTTTTTTCCTATTCATAAGCATGGTAAGAAAACATTTTTGCAGGTTGATTATGTTTGCACAAACCATCTCTTGTTTAGTATCTACTGTTCACGTCCACTCTTCACCTGGTTGTGTTTCAGCTGGCCTACTGTGTGGTTCAGTTCATAGAAAAGGACCCGACCCTCACTGAAGTGGTACTGCTCACCTCACCTCACCCTCACACCATCCCATTTCAGTCTATTTGAGCCACCAATACACTTTTATTTTTACAGCTACACTCTGAAAGTTAGAATTGGTTTTGGGAAATTGAATTATTTTAATTATATTTAAATACAATTACATTCATTTCTGTTAGTAGTAGTAGTTGAAATGTGTACTTTCTGCAGACTAGTGCCTTTAACAGAATTGCAAAAAATAATGCCTTATTAAAAGTTCCACCACATGATTTTGGTAGAACAAATATACTGTATAGTCTTGTCCAGAATAGTTGTTAATGGTCTTGATGGCTGGTAGGGTTTTACCCAGAAGGTCAAGCTTTAGCTGGTCCAGCTCGCATAACTACAAAAAGCAAACTTTGAGATCCTGTGAAGTGTGCATTTGTAGAATGCATAAAAATGTGTGTACAGTTTAACTGTTTAATTGTCACACTCTCAGAAATAAAGGTACAAAATCGGTCTCTTTTCAAAAGGTACATGTTTGACCACGAGTCCATTTTGGTACCTTAAAGGTACATATTAGTACATAAAGTGTATATATTAGAACTTAATAGGTACAAAAGTGTACCTTTTGAAAATGTACCACCCCAGTGACAGCTTTTGTACCTTTATTTCTGAGAATGCAGTTCAAATATCAGACAGGCGCATGTGTATATACTGTATATGTGACCCTGGGCCACAAAACCAGTCATAAGTATCACAAGTATATTTGTAGCAATAGCCAACAATACATTGTATGGTCAAAATTATCGATTTTTCTTTTATGCCAAAAATCATTAGGATATTAAGTAAAGATCATGTTCCGTGAAGATATTTAGTAAATTTACTACCCTAAATGTTTTAAAACTTCATTTTTGATTAGTAATATGCATTGCTAAGGACTTCATTTGGACAACTTTAAAGGCGATTTTCTCAATATTTTGATTTTTTTTGCACCCTCAGATTCCAGATTTTCAAATAGTTGTATCTCGGCCAAATATAGTCCAATCCTAACAAACCATACATCTATGGAAAGTTTATTTATTATAAATCTCAATTTAAAAAAAAGACCCTTATGACTGGTTTTGTGGTACAGGGTCACATATGTATATGTAAATACAGTATGTGTACTAATTTGACTTCCAGTGCACTTCCCTCAAAATCCCTCTGGAGAAACTTCAAGTTAAGTGCCTTTGTCAAGGCCACAATGGTGAATGTTAAACCCCTCCAGCAGCAATTTATGAACTTATAAACTATACCAGATATTAAAGCACTAGGCTGTGGCACCATGAGAGCAGGTACTCATGCCACACTTCCTCAGACATCAGAGTGTGAAGATGCTGAGGGGCTTCTGGAGGTTTGGCTTTGTGTTGGGTTTTCAAGCCGCTGTCGCTGGCCATCTGTGTATTTCTGATAATACGGCGGCTGCTGGGTTTGGTTGCACAGTCATGTGTGAACAGAGACTTCATTCTGAGGACGTGCTGCCAACCGCAGGGAAGCCCAGAGTTCACCGTGAGCTCATTACCACTGCTGTTCGCCCGTGAGCAGGAATTAACTCATGGATTCACACAGGCATGAATCCCCCAGTTAGAGGGCGATGGTGTTGAAGGCAGAGCAATAAATGATATGGTACGATGAATGATATTTCATATTTCTGGGTTTGGAGAGTGAAAGTAAACAGCAGAGGAAAGGGCACAGCTGGACTTGATGAGACGTCCATCTGATGCAATAAAAATAGCACAGCACCCGCACCAGCGTGGTTTATCTGTCAAGTACTCAAAGTAGACAAAATAGGCAAAATGTCCATCCCCTAGTTTGCATGATTTTCAAAAAAAGGAAGAATTAGAAATGGATTATGACAGGAAGGTGTCAAATGTACTTTTATATAGTTAAAAGCTAGTAACCATTTATACAGTGCTTTCTTGTCAACACAACAACTGAATGTCACAATTTGCATAATGCATTTTATATAAAACTTTATTCATTTACAAAACTAGCTAACAAATTAGACAAGAAAATAAGCATATTCCACCTTGTAATTGAAGCAATGTCACTACATTCACATCAGTAGAAGAATAAGAATATTAAAAAACATGATGATGATGATGTTAATAATTTATCATAAAATAGTAGTAATTTATATAATATTGTCATAAAATAGAAATTATTATTATCAATAATAATTATTATTATTATTATTATTTTCTCTTTACTCTTTATTTTTCTGTTGACTTAAGATTTTTAATGAAGTGAGGGCACATTTTTTTAAATCAAAGATAAAGTTTTATCATTTATTTTAATATATAATACATATTTAGATGTTTTTATTTTAATATATACTTTATATACTATACTTTAATATATACTTTATAATTTATTTATAATATATTTATTTATTATATTTTTGTTTTTTCACACACCTTTATTTCATAATGTATTTCTATGATATACTTCAAATTCATTAGAATTGCATAATTTATCAAAAATGTATCTTTTCTGTTTCCTCTTAGGTGGTTCGTGGCCTTCTTAAATTTTGGCCTAAGACGTGTAGTCAGAAAGAGGTAAACTGTCTGATAATTTATGGGCCAGTCATTACAAAAAGTAATGAATGCATTATGAGTGGCAATATAACGGCTGTTCTCTTTTTTCTACTTTTTACTTCTATATTTGCAGACTGAAGTGTCTGATGAGTTTCTGTGTTCTGTCTCTGCTCTGTTAGGTCATGTTTCTAGGGGAAATTGAAGAGATCCTGGACGTGATCGAACCTACGCAGTTCAAGAAGATTCAGGAGCCTTTATTTAAGCAAATCTCTAAATGTGTAGCCAGCCCTCATTTTCAGGTAGAGTGTAGTGTTAGTATGTGATCTGTAGTCTGTCCGCTTTAATCACAGCTTGTAGGGAAACAGCAGCTGATTACAAATGCAGTTTTACTATGGAATCAAATCCATGCCACATACAGCAGATTTCATAAATAAATAGATAATTGCTAAATAAAATAAAATGTTGAAAACAATTGTGCTGCTTAATATTTACAGGATTCTTTGAAAGGAAAGTTCAAAAGTACAGCATTTATTTGAAATAGAAATCATTTGTAACATTATAAATGTTACTTTTACTGTGACTTTTAATCAATTAAAGTGCCCCTGTTATGGATTTTCGAAAATTACCTTTCATGCAGTGTGTAACACAGCCCTGAGTGATTGAAAACATCATACAAAGTTTTAAATCTGAAAGTGCACGGTGTATAAAGTTATTGTCTTTCAAAAGAAAGAGTCGACTCTGAATCATTGAAACGAGTCGTTTTTAAAACGAATCCCAAGCCGTTTCATCATGTTGAGGTCAACATGAAACATTAGCATATTGCCCGCCCACTTGTTGGTCTTTTCGCGTTGGTCTGAATGAAAATGCAAATTAATTCTTTGCCACTAGGTAAGGTAAAAATAAATGCATATTATAAGACAATGAAAGTGTTTTTTGACATTGCGTGCATGTCAACCTGTTGTTGGGGACTCCCAAAACCGAAATATGAACCTTTCATTACCCATAATAGGGGCACTTTAAATGTGTCTTTGCTGAATAAAAGTGCTAATTTCCTAAGCTGATGCCAAACTTTTAAACGGTAGTGTACGTTTCATTATCTCTGATATTTGCAGGTAGCAGAACGAGCACTGTACTACTGGAACAATGAATACATTTTGAGTCTAATCGAGGAGAATAATGCCAAAATCCTTCCCATCATGTTTGGAAACTTGTACCGGATCTCCAAAGAACACTGGAACCCGTATGTTGTGGATTTTTCATTTGATCATTGCCACATTTTATTGAAGGAATCATTCATTACCTTCATTCCAAACCCATACTGATTGACTTTTTCTGTCAAACAGAAAAATATAAATTTTAACGAATGTACTAGTTGCTCTTTAAATGCAGTTTGGTGAATGGTTGAAACAATTAAAAAAAATATTAAACCCATTGAAGAAATGACATGCAGTAAGTCTCTTTTAATTGTCTCAGGACAATCGTGGCCCTGGTGTACAATGTATTAAAAACACTGATGGAGATGAACAGCAAACTGTTTGATGAACTGACGGCTTCATACAAATGTGACAGACAGCGGTAAGATCACGTCTTTACTCTTCTCATTTAGTTCAAAATGACACCGCTCATGATTGCCATCACTTCTGTCTTCAGAGAGAAGAAGAAAGAGCAGGAACGTGAGGAACTGTGGAGGAAGCTGGATGAACTCAGACTTCAGGAGACATCAGCCATCCAGAATAACAGGCATGAGATCCAGTTCACGTACAGCAACAACAATAACAACAACAACAACCTTCACGATAAGAATGAAAACCCAGCAGCAGCCATTACTGACAGAATTGAGAGCAACACCTGGGCCAAATGACACTGCCCTCTTTCTTCTTTCCTCAGTGTTTTGCGGGTTTACAGATGTAAACCAATGTAGAGAGCAGTAAGGATATGGACCTTCAGCAATAATCATTTTTTTAAGGAAGATTTTATTTGATTTTTTCCCCAAAAATCTATGTAAAACTAAATCAAAATGCTATTTTCTCCTGCTAAAGGATAATATATTTTCTGTATGTAAATCTATTTTGGATGTAAAGTGTGGTTATAGTAAGTTATGAAAGTGCGATCACATTTGCTCTTCTGTGCAGTTATAATCAGTATTTTTGTCTGAAATTGTCTGGAACTGAAATTGTCTACATGTACAATAGAATTATATAATAATAATAGTTTTAAAATAGTACTTTTGTTATATTATGAGGGAATATATCTTGAGGGAATAAATCTAGATTTATTTTTAACTATTCTTATTCAATTTGGCTTCTGGTTTTTACTAGAAAACACGACAAAAATACTGACAAAAGAAAATATTTTAGCTTTGAAAATGAAATGTCTGTTTAAAAAAAGCCAACACTACCATGAGTTTGAAATGTATTTTACCATAAATGTGACCTAAGCTGAATATTAACATTTGATGCCTATAGTTCACATGATACGTAAGTTATATTCCATGGAAGTGTCAGAAATTAGCCTTAGAAATGCAAAAAGTGAAGCACAAATGTAGTGAACCTGGTCAGAAAGCCCTGTCCAAGATGAAAACGTTTATTTTTCTCATAATACCAGCCTTGCATTATAAATGCAACATCTTTAAATATTATATTTTATTAAAAACTCATTGCTTTCTGTATAATTTGGATCCACTGACTATGCATTTCGCAAGTTGGGATTAAAACAAATAGATCATTCTTAGACGTAACTTAACTCAGGGATAACTAATGCTCCCCACATGTTATAGAACGGTGACAAAGGGTTTTTGTTGTTGTTTATTTTCTCAAAAATAGAAAAAAATTGTAATATGTTTAAAGAACCGATATTATAAATGAGACTCACTGACATTCCATTCAACATTCTATTGTTTTGCTTCAACCAAAAATGGTCTCATCGCTATGCAGTTATGTTTTCATGAGGTTTCCTGTGAGAATGTGTAAAATAACCTTGTTGTTATGTGCTATCCTGCATTAAAATGCCAGGCTGATGTATATTTTTTTCCCATGTCATATTAGTGTTCTGTATGCGTAGGATAACAGCAAAGACCCAAGACGTGTCACTCTTATAGTTTTGAATGGGGAAAAATCATAGACTGTATAAAAACATGGCCGTAGTGTCCGTGACGTCACCCGTAGGTTTCCGAAGAGTGTTTTTGAAGCTCAAAGTGGGTGGAGGCGGCCGTCGCCATCTTGGCAGCGTGTCACCGTGCGTCACTCCCGGATAATCGAAAATGGGCAAAGAGGTGGGAGCTGGTTGCTGGTTGCTCGGTTACTCACGTAACCTCGGTTCCCTGAGATGAGGGAATGAGATCCCTTTCAATTCGGTCACTCTACATTGCTATGGGAATGTATAAAATCCCGCCGTGTCACAGCGATGAGCCTGGCTCGACTAAGTATGCCAAGTTTCACATACGGAACCGTAATAAGAGAACGGCAATGATATTGGCGCTCTTGTTAAACAGCTCAGGTCTACAGGACCTAGTCGAAACCATATAAAAGTCAAGGGGGGCGCAGCAACTAGACGATGCCGCGCCACACCAGGGGCGGAGTTAACGCCGGTGAAACAGAGAATGTGAAATAGCGGCATCTCCGGCGCCATCACATATAGATTAGTAGAAGTTTGTTTAATCTACGACCTAGTCGAAACCACTGAGGCAAGCAGCTCAGATCATAACTGAGGCTGAGTAGGCGCATGCGCTGCTCGCACTGCACATGTGAGGCAAGCGACGACACATCTAGGTTATAAAACCTTGCGACAGTGCTGGGTGACAACCAGTCTGCCGCCATGCAAATGTCCTGAATAGATATGCCATTTGCCCAGGCCCACGAGGACGCAAGTCCGCAGGTTGAGTGGGCCCGAACCCCTATAGGACATTTCACACCCTTAGAGCCATAAGCCAAAGCAATTGCATCGACGATCCAGTGTGACAACCTTTGCTTGGACACTGGCAGGCCTTTTGTGCGCTCTCCAAAGCATACAAATAGCTGGTCCGAGAGCCTGAACTGTCTACAGCGCTTGGTATAAATGCGCACTGCACGTACAGGGCACAGCAAAAGTGTATTAAGCGGCTCCGGCCCGGCCAGTGTTTCGGGATGGAAAGCAGATAGTGTTATGACCTGTGCTTTAAATGGAGTCAAAAGCACTTTAGGCACATAAACCTTCCTAGGCTTTAAGTTGAGTCTGCAATCACCTGGCCCGAACTCAATACACGAGTCATCAACTGACAGCGCCTGCAGGTCCCCAACTCGCTTAACAGAGGCTAGCGCGAGCAGGAGCGCTGTCTTGAGAGAGAGCGCGTGCAAACTCGCTGATTGTATAGGCTTTTTTTTTTTTGCTCTTGAAGGAAGGCAAGAATTATTGGTATTGTGTAGTTCAATGGGTCTTTGCCCCGCGACCCGCACCAATTTGTGAAAACTCTCCATTTATGTGCGTAAAGACGTCTAGTGGAAGGAGCCCTAGCCTCAGAGATAGTGTTCAACACGCGCTGAGGAAGTGCATCTGTTACTGGCAAGCTCCGTCGAGTGGCCAGACATGAAGGCTACATGACTCTGGATTTGGATGCTATATCGTTAACTGTGCTTGAGAGAGGAGGGGCTACCAGCATCTCCACCAGTTCTGGGAACCACAGCTGATTGGGCCATTTCGGTGCCACTAACAGAACAGATTCCCTTTCCTCTCTGATTTTGCAAAGCACGCGAGGCAGAAGTTTCACTGGAGGAAAAGCATACTTGCATACTTTTGGCCAGCTGTGAACTAGTGCATCCACTCCCAGGGGAGAGTGTGTCAGTGAATAAAACAGTTCCCCGCCCCTCGACAGTAAATCCGCGCCGTAATTCAGGCGTACGTGGACATGTACTGCCCAGATGGAGAGGAGGTGTCGATCTGCCCACAGAAGAATGTCTCTCACCAGCCGCAGCAGCGGCCGCGAGCTCACGCCCCCTTGGTGATTTATAAACGCTACCACTGTCATGCTGTCCGTCCTGATGAGAACGTGACGGTGGAGAATGTCCAGGAGAAAGCACTCGAGCGCTAGGTGTACAACATGGAGCTCCAGACAGTTTATGTGCCACAACTTCTCCGTTTCTGACCGCGTCCCGAAGGCTGGTCTGCACTCTGTGGCACCCGGCCCTTTAGCCAGAGCTGAAGCCCTAGTTTGCACACTGTCGAGGCGGCAGCCATCTGGCCGAGCGTCCTCTGAAAGCATTTCAGCTGGGGAGAGTGCCCTAACTTGAAGACTGCGAGAGAGCTGATCAGTTTTTGTGAGCGCTCCTACGACAGACACGCTCGCATATTGATTGAATTCAGATTGAATTCATTTGAAATTGCATATTCACAGTCAGCCCTAAGCTCTGAAGATGAACGAGGATTCTGAGCTTGTTGGTGAGCAGCGCGCTCTCTGATTGGGCTAAGACTAATTTTGAACGAGCGCTTCGAAAGCGCGAGATTCAGCGGTCTTAGGTCCAAGATTGGGCGGAGTCCGCCGTCTTTGGTACCAAAAAATAGCGACTGTAGAAGCTGCTCTCGCGGTCTGCTAGGGGCACTGTCTCTACAGTCCGTTTTAGCGAGGAGGTTGTGTATTTCCTCTCGCAGAACTGAGGCATTCCGCTCCCGTACAGTGGACATTAACACACTGTTGAAACAGGGCGGCCTGCGGAAGAACTGAAGCGTGTAGCCGTTCTTTATTGATTTCATAACCCACTCTGATACCCCTGGCAGTGCCTGCCACACTTCTGTGAACTGCAACAGCGGGCGAGGCGGACTGCACACCATGAGGGATAACTCGCCATTGGGGGGCGGGGAGTTTAATACCACACAAGTGTGAGAGTGAGTGATGGGGGAGAGGGGAGTGAGAGGAGGAGAATTGCTTTGATATTGAGGTGAGTTTTGTATGTTTTTCGACTTTATTGCACTGCATAGTGGAACAGTCAAAACAGAAACATGACAATTGCTCTCGCCACCCGCAACAGGCAGGGGGGCGTGGTGAACACACAGCAGAGCGAGCGCAGACTTTTTCAGTGGCTCGTCTTCGGCGCTGGGTGCAGATTTCCTCCTCCGAGAGACAGCATCAGGAACGCGGCTTTGATTCCGGTGCCGGTGGCCTGACTATCCTCTCGAATGTAAATCTCAGGAAACGCCTGTGGCGAGGGGCTACCTGAATTTGAAAATAAGCATCCTTTAAATCCACAGAGATAAACCAATCTCTCGGTCTGATGTGTGAGAGGATTTGTCTCATAGTTCGCGCCGGCGCACTTTGGTAGGAAGTGGTTAATAGCCTTCGACTGTTTCTGCACTTCAACGAAGCGCTCCGTGAATGTCTCTACCGCTGCTCCGAAGAGACCTGAGGGATTCACGGGAGCGTCCAGAAGGGCCATTTTTTCCGAGTCCTTTAACTTGGTCAGAGTATGCCACAGGTGACGATCTAGCACCACAAGATTCCCCATGTTGCGGCCGATCGTTCGAGCTGTCACCACCGTCGCTCTGATGGCCAGATCCTTGGTGCGTCGGAGCTCTTTGAACACTTCAGGGTCCGGCCCGTCCTCATCCAGAGACTTGAGCAGCTTGGCCTGATACACCTGGAGTATCGCCATCACGTGCAGTGCTGAAGCTGCTTGGCACGCCGCGGAGAACGCCTTGCAGTGTTTGCAGTGCGAAGTTTGCAGTGGCGCGGCAAGATTTAGAGGGGAGAGACGCGTTGTTTCTCACTCTCCAGTTCGACGTGGCTGAAGGACAGAGATGGGCAGCGGCAGCTTCTTCCACGGGGGGAAGTTTAACATACCCCACTTGGTCAGCGCCGTCCACTGAAGACAGGAGGGAGGATCTCGGGTTGTGCACTCGACTGGTGAGCGACGCGTTCCACGACTTCGTTATCTTATCATGCACCTCGGGGAAAAGGGGCCGGGCCTCCGCGGGGTGTCCTTTCGGCCGCGATCCG